CAACCTAATGTAGATGTATTCATATATGTAGATACTTAACTAATGTAAGTGTTAATTTGCAGCAATGTCAATATCTTGTTTGTGTGCTGTTATATACAAAAAATTGTTCAATTCATAAAACCTAACGTTAAATGTTGTGATGATTTCATAAAATTACTATGATACCTACAGTTACTATGAATACATCCTGGGCGATTAAAAAAATAGTGATTGTTTCCTTAACACAACAATTGTAAATAATAATAGTTATTGTAAAGATATAATTCTTCCCAAAATCTACAAATGCAGTTTGTTTATAATAATATCTCATTAACATTCAAACTGCTGAACTTATTAAGATTAAATGTGGAAGAACATAGTTTCAGTTACTGTTTCCTGTTCTTGAGGTAATGTTACTTAACCAACCATTATTTCATACTCCACTTGTCTTATATTTTACATTATTCATAAAATGCTTCGTTCCCCATTATCAAATTCATTTTCAGGTACATAATATAACACTTTAATTAATTAAAAGATAAGACTTTAATAAAAACTTGTCCATTTGTGGTTTTTTAATATATTTAGTTGCCTTATTAGCTTCTCTTTTTCTGAAAATAAAATATTTTAGTTAGTGCTTTGATCAATACGTAACTTTAATATTAAAAGTCTTTACTTAATTCTAAACTTAAAAATATACTTAATTTGTCACTTTGCTGCTTATTGTCAATTAAAGTTTTTAATAACCCAACAATGTCAGTAACTCCCAAGGGACTTGAATTCAAACTTCTCATTCATTAACAATATTATAATAAATTCTCTAGTATATTGACTTAGTAAATAATTAAAGAAAATATCTGCTTACCATTACTTAGTATTGCTCACTAGATTTTATATTTCCAAAGTTCATAAAGTATAAATCCACTTTATTTGATTAATTAAAATCAATATTATATCATTATCAGCTTCTATTATAATTACAATAAAATATATTTAGAACTTCTAATTATGTTCATTAGTGACTGCTTTCTCATCTGAAATATACAAATAAAATGTACAATCATTTTACTTTGTGATTACATAATATATGCAATATTAAATGGTATATGTATTTTTCAAATTAAAGAACAATTTCATGAACTTACATGCAATATAAATATCAATAAAAGATATCCAATATAACTAGGATTTACCTCTACTAATTTGCTGATTTTCTTGATATTTTCATATTTATCTGTGTCTATTATGTTATCCTCGCATTGATTCATAGAAAAACTAAAACTCTTAACTTAAAAATATTAACTCTAGTTTAAAATATTATAATTACACGAGAACGTTAAAAAAAGACAGATAACAAATTAAAACCATTTCGTTAAAATGTCCAAAATATGACATGTTTTTAAAACAGTAGCCATTAAAAATGGCGATAGTTGTACTGAATTATTGCAAACAGCAGCTTTTGAGATCACGCTAAAACATGGCGGAGAAACGCCGTTTTTTCTACACTGCCGAAACATTAATTGGCCGTTGGCTACCGAATAGCGTAAGCGTTAATGTGTGTCTTTTCGTAGCACTGTCATGGCGTCGCTTATTGTATCCCGACTCACGCCTTTAGGACCCAGGCTACCGACTGTCGACACGAGCTGTCATTTTCATACAAATTTAGTTTTCGACTTTCTACATACACTACTGTTAAGCCATCTTGGCTAGACCCCCTGGCTGCGAAGTAGTTGCGGCCGAGTGTTCAACGGCACCCATCGATTTTCGAATTCTTTACAAACATTGCTATAATGTGGATGGTATTTTATTTAAAAAATAAGTGAACGAAATTTTTATTGGCAATTTAATTAACATTACTTGCGGCCACTTATATACTAGCACCCTGTTATCAATTTATTCTCCTAATCATAAATTCAAATTCAAAAATCATTTAATAATGTAGGTACATTGTACACTTATGACTTGTCAGTAAAGAAATACATATTAATGCTTCTGATTTTACATTTAGTGCCAGTTCTCAAATCAAGGGCGTAGAACGGAAGAGAAGAACTGGCAATAAACTCTCCGCCACTCTTTAATCGCCATGTTTTTGAAGTTGTACTTCTTTAGGCGCGTTATGAAAAATTGATGAGAGTGAAATTTTACGATGCGCGCGCACCTATGACACAAAATTGGCAGTGTGATATAGCGTGCGCGAGCGAGATGGGAATAAGACAATCTACAAGTAAAAAGAAATAGAATATGCGTGAAGCTAACTTCACGCATATTCTATTTCTTAGCCTAACAGCTTAACAAGAATTTTGAATGACCATGGCATCTGACAATGACATTTACCTTTTAAACAAATATAGAAGTTTTAATTATTGTTTAAAATAAATAATTATTTACCTAGCTATTTTAATTATACAAGTGCGAATTTTATATGTGCGTCTGAATTATAATCAGAAGTGATTTAAATTTAATATCTAAATCAAAACTAATTAATATGATAAAATATTTGTGAAAAAACTGTGCCAACCTTCCTGAGTGCTTCAATACAATTGAGGTTAACTATCCGTATGTATTATTGTTGATTAAAACTGAAACATGAACCATTATTCATTGCTTTTGTTACAGCAACTTTTTAGAAATATTGTACGACCCTATATATCAATGATTGAGAACAAAGATTTAAGCACGAATACTAATAAGGAGAAAATGAAGGCTTGGAGCGATATAACAGAGAAGTAAACATTTTAATAAGTACCTGCATCTCAAAAAAATGACCACATTATTATTTTAATCCAAACATGTAATTTTTCAGATTTAATCTAGCAAATATAAGGACAAGAGACAAAAAACAATTGATGAATGGCAGAGATGATACCGCAACGGTTTGAAGTAGATTTCAATGAATTTGATTGTGATGGTGTCGAGGTAGGAATGTTTATTATAAATATGATGTATGGTGATGTTCAAGGTTCAACCTTTCAAGCATAGGCATATGCTCACAACACTACTTTATTCCCCTACAGGGTAGTTAGAGATATTGTAATACCTCAAAACATCCATGTTGCACTTGTAGTACCGAAACTCTGTCCAGCCAGAAGTGAGCCCATTCCCACTTATAATGGACAGTGGATAATACACCTTAATACCTGAGTGCGAACCACTCACCATGATACTTAAATTAATAGATGTTATTTATATATTTCAGGATATTACAAATAAAATTATTTTGGAAACAATTGATATCCCAAAAGCAAATAAAGCCAACAATGACAAGGTAATAAATCAGTTTTGACATAACTTGAATACTAAAAAAGCCAAACAAAGGTGTGCACAACAGTGACAACATAACTTAACAATTTCATTATTTTGTAGGATTAAAGAAAGGTTAAAGAAAATCATGTCGAACTGAACAACAAGAATCCCCAAACAACTCTAAAGAAACCTACAAGGAAGACACCGGTATTATATTTAAATTATCTCTATCTCTAAATAGAATAAAAGAAAGTTGCTATCCAGGTCTGTAGCATGTGCTACAAATTATATTATTAACACATTTATATAATTATATTAATATAAATGTGTTAAAAATTTTATAATATGAATTATAAAAATTTTAAGTTTTGCATGGACAGAGCTTAAATTAATATTCTCTTATTTGTTGCAGAAAGCAAGTAGTAGTTTAAGTTTTGGAGAAGCCTCGTAGATGCACAACCAAGTAATGATTAATTTAAAATTACAAACCTAAATTCTGATGAAGACATTAGAGTCACTTAAAAATGAATAGTATAATGAAATAAAAATGTTTTAAAGATAAATAGTGTTTTATTTGTTTAATGTAAGAGAATAATAATAAATATTTATTTAATTAATTTTTCAAATGTAAACTGAACTTTATTGACTTTAATGACTCCTTTTCCAGTCTTTGATTATTTAATTGTAATTAATTATTTGCATGCAGTCAAAAACTATTTTTAATAATGCCAAAGAAGTATAACTTCTTACGCGCGTACATAAGTACACGCACCCTTTTTTTTTTTTTACACAAAGTTTGTAGGGAGCTGCAACCATTAAACCATGTTCCACATGAAATAAATGTAAAAATGTGAATTTGAATAACTACGCGATTTTGCTGCCGAATCTTAGACTAAGGGTCTGTTTCACAATGTATGGATAAAGTACCAAATAGCTATGCAACAAATAAATTATTTGGTAGATAAATTGTGCTATTTGACATTTCATCGGATTCATAACTTATGATGGACTTTATGTGACGAATAGCGCTATCTGACAGTCGTGAAACGCAACAATAGTGTTTATCCTACCAATAAGTAATAAGGAGCTAATTTGGAACTTATGTAGAACTTATCCGTACATTGTGAAACAGACCATAAGTAAAATGTTTACAATATAATAATCATATCATGGACTGAAATTTATTAGACAAGCCATATGCAATAAATGTATTGACATATTAAATTAAATATATAATACGTTTCATCAAATAAACATCTCGGTGAACTTTTTTTTTTTTTTTTTTTACCTGGGGAAACCCGATTACGGGCCCCCGCGCCTGGGCAAGTGCGAATGGCGCGGGGAGTGTGGGGGTCAAGGTCGTAAAATGCGTTGACCCCATACCCACTAAAACCACCAGGGCCCAATCCATAGTATGTGTAGAGCCAGGTTGTTGTGGCCACTGCCTAGCACGAGTTAGCATGCAGCTCTGCAAAGAAGCCCTTCATAAACTTAAGCAAAATAATTTGCAAGCTTAAATCAAATTAGATTTTAAGTAATTCTCCAAAAAAAAAAAAACTAAATAAATTAATTAATAATAATCTACAAAGCTTAAATAATTACAATCACACTATAAGGACAGCAATGGTAAATTTAAATTTAACTGGCCATAGCAAATAAAAGCAAATTAGCAGATAAAGCAGCAGCCACGAATGAAAGCAAAACAAAAACAAAAGCAGCATACCAAAATAAGCAGCAACTCAGCAGCGCAGATATTCGCGGCTAAGTTTGGAAGTGTTTTATTTATAAGCATATTTTATAACTTTAATAAGCTCCATAAAGGGGTCTTTTCTGTGTTTAACATTGTACCGCCGCCACAAGTATTCGTAAAAATAACTTCCATCGTCAGCCACAAAAGGGTTATCAGGATCTGACTCAATTACTTTTTTGTGTATGTACCCATGCTGTGATAAACAATCATACACTTTCCAGAAGTTGGTATGGATAGTAGTGCCAACTTCTACATGTTTTTGTATAAGTGGCACTAATACTTCAGCTGACTCAATATTGTCTAGGGACACTTCTAATCTCAGATCTTTGCCTTCCGTCATACCAATAACCCAATGGCCCTCAATATGGTGTCCTACAACAATTCAAGAATTAGTTAATAAGCTAAATGAATAAAATAGATTTTTTTGATGTGATAATAATAGTTTTTTTGGACATCTCTGGTGGTACAGAAAATGCAGCTTGTCAAACTTGCTTACCAAATCAGGCATTTTATTCAAGCCTCCTCTTGACGTTGACTGAATCTATGTTGTCTTAAATGCGGAACTAACTCAACCATGATCTAGTTTGCATGTAGATAAATATTAACTAATAGTGCTATAAAACAATTACCTCGATTGAATTTTCGTTTCCCAAATTTTGATACATCAATCTGGACTACCTTCCCTGGGCCACCAATCTTTCCTTCTACTTGATTTCTATCCATTTGATAAATAACTATAGTTTCCCTGCAATAAGAATACCAATCACTTATGGTGGGTCGGCTTATGCATTGTTGTCTACTTTCTTTATATGGGTCTTCATGAATGACTGTTTCATAGCTCCATTTATGTGAATATGCATATAACAAGTAGAACACTTGTACTAAATCGATTTTAATATTTTCGAAAAACGTTCCTTTATTTCTAGGAACTTTTGTTTTTGCTCTGCAATTTCCTTTCGTACAACACCATGAACCAAATGATTTATTCGTCGATTTAGCAATTTTCATGGGTTTACGATGTATGCTACATTCCTTTTGAGAATGCACTAATCCATTTTCTTCAGCAAATGCCACACACTGCTCATTAGTACTCAAATTTTTCATAATTTTTGTCAAGTTCCACATCATGATCACTTCTTCAGTGTAGAGGTCACGACCGACAACGGGCCCATCGTCATCATCATCATCAGAATCATCCAAAAAAGCCGGTCGTCTACGAAGCATAGAACTAATAGAACTAGTAGACGGCTCAGGTACTGGATCACGTCCACATCCACTATTTCCAGACGCCATGACAAGCTGTGATCGCGAGAAATCGGTGTCCAGTATGTATTGCAAGGTCGTAGAGAAAAGCAATCCAATTAAAGTCAAAAAGTATAGCCAAGTTTCCAAAAAATCCAAATAAAATAAACGCAGAATCTCAATCACATACACGTTAACTTGAAAGTAACGGAATGAATCTGTCAGTGTAATTTGAATTTCTGTCAATATCTACATTCAAAATGGCGGTTTGTTGTTTCCGTAGATAGAGTATAGAACCATAGTCCGTCTACGGTTGTTTTACATGTTGATCTGTCATGTTCTGAAATACACGCTGCATGTAAAAAAAATTATTAATAGAAAAGTATAAAATTTACGTACGTAAATACTATATATGTATACTAGCTGTACCCCGCCGCGCTTCGCTGTGTTGCGAGTGTTTTCGTCGCTTCTGGCAGATGGCGCGATTACTGGACAAAACAATCCAGTTGAGATGCAGTGGAGTTTAGGTACCTAAAGTCAATAGCATTTTTTCGTACCATGACCGCCTATAAGCTGAAACGTATTAGCATCGCAAGACCGAATGAAAAAACGATAGTTTTGTTTGTGGTTTCTATGTAAGTTTAGAAGTTTAACTGTCAAACTTACTTCGACAGATGTTTCTATAAAAAAAAAAAATGTGTGCGTGTACTAGTGTACACACGTTAAGTGCCCTGTAAACGATCAAATTTGCTTGACAAACTTGTTTGTCAAACTTCACGTTTTCATCAAACAATAGCTTAGACGATCAAACCAAATATCTATCAAATTTGTTAAATTTCTAGTAGATTCTTCTTTCGTCACGTGACGTCGCCGTGCCGAGCGATTCAGATGACGCATTTTTGGCATTGACTCTAGCACTGTGTATCAAGACAAAAAAAAGAAGACGATGGAGTCGAGAATGGTTGAAATTAAGAGATAAATATACCCACGAGAATTTGCTACGGGAAATATTGCGTACAGAACCTGAAGACTACGCAAACTTCCTGCGCATGGACCATAAAACTTTTGAAGATTTACTGACTATACTCCATACGGTTTTATTTAATAAATAAAATAAAAAGCCTTTTATTTCTTGCTAAAAGATATACAAAATAACATAGGTTTACTAAAAAGAAATAGGTTTACAAAAAATCAGGATAAACAGATATGAAATGCAACATAAATTCTTTGTTAGTAATATTGACACTCATATTGTCACTGAGCGTAGCGTCCTCCTTGATGTCAATATAACGAGTGAGATCTTGTTTCAAACTCGACATCAATCCAGATTTTCATCAAACACGTAGAATGTTTGACAAACGCGTCAAACACAGCAGTACACTATCAAATAATTGGACAAACACGTAAAATTTGACAAACAATTTGATCGTTTACAGGGCACTTTAGAAGTGAAACTTCTTTATGACCTTATTTTTCGAAAAATTATCTATATGCAACTTTACAGAAATTGGTTACATAAAGTTTAATTTGATAGTTTATCAAAAGGCTTTTATTATCATAGACAGGAATACAAATAATACAATTATTTCATTTTACCTTATTACCACTAAGATTATTACAGAATTTCATAAATTGTAATAGAATTTTTAGTATCATAGTTATCGTTATTATAAATTTTTGTTATTAATGGTTTAGAATCTCTTCGAATCAACCGTGGTAGGGATAAGAAAAAGACGCGCGTAACGGTCAAATGTGACGCGTAACTGAAAAATGTTACACTAAATTTTTTTCCAACCCCGATAAAGAAGTTTCACTTCAATAAAATATAAAATTATTTAAAATAATTCATCAATTCCAATAAGCTATTATGTCTTAATATATATATTTATTTGTGACGCGTAACGAAAAAATGTTACACTAAATTTTTTTCCAACCCCGATAAAGAAGTTTCACTTCAATAATAATTTTATTTGCAGCTTAACCTGACATAATCGCTGAATTGAGAGACTGAAATATATGAATAAATGTTTATATCCAATTGAACATTGCCTGAATACATCTTTTTCTATCTTGATGGAGTCATCCTAACTAAATAAATACTGTTATTATAATATTTTTAAATGGCTTATTATTTACACATTATAAATTTAAAAATACCTATGTTTTTTTAAACAACAAAAATCAGAGGAGAATAATACAATTCATGAACAAAATGAGGAAAAATTTAATTATAGGTCATTGATATACAAAAAACCCAAGATGCACACTCATCGTCTAAAAAACGTCCTCAAAAAATGAGCGCAACATTCTAAATTGTGCGCTCATTTCAAATAGTCTCGCGTCTAATGCGCTCGCGCTGGAGTCGATGTTTTTTATTTTTGTTTTTTTTTATAAATAAATTTATGTACTTTTGAACTTTTTTGTGTGTAGGTTTTGACAAATATATTTACGCTATATAAAGTGTAGGTCAGGAGGTAGCCAATTTAACATTTTTTTTTAATTTAAAGAAAAAACTTTTTAACCGGATTAAAGTTATGTATTATTATAAATTTACAACTATTTAACATCCAACACCTTTTGTCTTCAGTCACCGTGACCACGCACGCTGTAAAGCACCCGAAAAGTCGGATAAATTTAAAATTATGTTAAATATGTAGTTGTAAATAAAAAGTCATGTTCGACTCCAATACCTTGTCCTACCGACCACGGTCGGTCGTAAAATTTTATTGCTTTAAGTACGTATACACTGCGTTGTAATAACAACTTTAAGCAATTCCCGTAAGGTTGATTTTGCAATAATATATGCTTGTAACATATACTGTTATAGACATACTGTTATAGAAAGGGACAGAAACAGTGTTTCGGGACACTTTCGAGCGTTTCTTTTATTCGAGACTGTGCATCTTGGGTTTTTTGTATATCAATGTTATAGGTACTAAATATCTACTAGTGATATGGCATTCTTATTTATTGTAAAATGTGATATTATATTGGGGAATTATGTTTTGTTAGACATGCCTAAATAATTAATTGAATATTATTGAACCATGTGCAATTATTTGCAGGTACACTGAAATCTTCAATGAGACAAAGTCGTTAATCTATAGTAAATTATAAACTCAATATCTACGAAGTCGTAGAAGGGCATTGCCGTCTTGTTTCTCATCTTCGTCGATATTTTAATAATTTATTTATAATCACACTCTAAACTCAAAATATCGAAAATATAAAAATTCTATTTTTTTTTCCTATATTAGCCATAGTAGATAAATCTTATTATTTTAACTTTATTAACAAGTTTTAATACAAATATTGAATTTTATAGGTTCTTAACTATTATTTGGACATTTCGATACAAAAAAGTAACTTTTTTAGAATCTCTTATTCTGTCATAGTTGGAAGGTGGGAACATAAACTGTCTTGTTTTTTCGATGTCATGCCCTGATCGTTAAAAATCTGTTGAATTTTGCGGTCCCTTTCATAGTCTGTGCTTAGTACTTGCTGCTGAAATCGCAGCAATATTTCACCGGTGCAAAATCCTAGTATTGATTACAATTTACAATGTTTATACCTGGCTACGCGAGAGTTGTGACCGGAAAAGAATAGGCAACCTAACATTTGCATATTTTATGGGCTTCATACTTTCGATTGTTATAATTTGTCTAATAATCAAACTGGTGAAATATTAACAATTTTTAATTTTAATTAATCATATCATGGACTGAAATTTGTTAGACAACCCACATGCAATAAATTTTTTGACATATGAAATTAAATATATAATACGTTTCATGAAATAAACATATCGGTGAAGTTTTTTTTTTTTTTTTACCTGGGGAAACCCGATTACGGGCCCCCGCGCCTGGGCAAGTGTGAATGGCGCGAGGAGTGTGGGGGTCAAGGTCGTAAAATGCGATGACCCCATACCCACTAAAACCACCAGGGCCCAATCCATAGTATGTGTAGAGCCAGGTTGTTGTGGCCACTGCCTGGCACGAGTTCTGCAAAGAAGCCCTACATGAACTTAAGCAAAATAATTTGCAAGCTTAAAACAATTAAGATTTTAAGTAATTCTCCTTGGCAAAAGCGATAATTTAATTTAATAATAAATTTATTAATAATAATCTACAAATCTTAACAAATTACAATCACACTATAAGGCATTGGTAAATTTAAATTTAACTGGCCATAGCAAATAAAAGCAAATTAACAGATAAAGCAGCAGCAACAAATGAAAGCAAAACAAAAACAATGGCAGCATACCAAAATAAGCAGCAACTCAGCAGGTCAGCAGCGCAGATATTCGCGGCTAAGTTTGGAAGTGTTTTATTTATAAGCATATTTTATAACTTTAATTAGCTCCATAAAGGGGTCTTTTCTGTGTTTAACATTGTACCGCCGCCACAAGTATTCGTAAAAATAACTTCCATCGTCAGCCACAACAGAGTTATCAGGATCTGACTCAATTACTTTTTTGTGTATGTACCCATGCTGTGATAAACAATCATACACTTTCCAGAAGTTGGTATGGATGGTAGTGCCAACTTCTACATGTTTTTGTATAAGTGGCACTAATACTTCAGCTGACTCAATATTGTCTTGGGACACTTCTAATCTCAGATCTTCTTTGCCTTCCGTCATACCAATAACCCAGTGGCCCTCAATATGTCGTCCTACAACAATTCAGGAATAAGTTAATAAGCTAAATGAATAAAATAGTTTTTTTTTTTGATGTGATAATAATAGGTTTTTGGACATCTCCGGCGCTACAGAAAATGCAGCTTGTCAAACTTGCTTACTAAATCAGGCATTTTATTCAAGCCTCCTCCGTCCCCTCAGTGCCTACATGGGCTTGAAATAACACTCTAGGGGTAGAACATACTAGTAACACATCAGTTGACGTTGACTGAATCTATGTAGTCATAAATGCGGACCTAACTTAACAATGATCTAGTTTACATGTAGATAAATATTAACTAATAGTGCTATAAAACAATTACCTCGATTGATTTTTCGTTTCCCAAATTTTGATACATCAATCTGGACTACCT